TTATCTGATATGTCATTTACAAATATCTTCTCCCATTCCATCAGTTGCCTTTTAGTTTTGCTGATTGTTTCCTTCACTGTGCAGAAGCTTTTTATCTTGATGAGGTCCCAATAGTTCATTTTTGCTTTTGTTTCCTTTGCCTCCAGAGACATGTTGAGTAAGAAGTTGCTGCGGCCAAGGTCAAAGAGGTTTTTGCCTGCTTTCTCCTTGAGGATTTTGATAGCTTCCTGTCTTACGTTTAGGTCTTTCATCCATTTTGAGTTTACTTTTGTGTATGGTGTAAGAAAGCGATACAGCTTCATTCTTCTCCATGTCGCTGTCCAATTTTTCCCAACACCATTTGCTGAAGACACTGTCTTTATTCCATTGTATATTCTTTCCTGCTCTGTCAAAGATTAGTTGGCCATATGTTTGTGGGCCTATTTGTGGGTTCTCTAGTCTGTTCCATTGATCTGTGTGTCTGTTTTTGTGCCAGTACCATACTGTCTTCATGATTCCAGCTTTGTAATACAGCATGAAGTCCGGAAATGTGATGCCTCCAGCTTTGGTTTTCTTTTTCAGGATTGCTTTGGCTATTTGGGGTCTTTTCTGGTTCCATATAAATTTTAGGATTGTTTTTGTAGCTCTGTGAAGAATGCTGGTGTTATTTTGATAGGGATTGCATTGAATATGTAGATTACTTTGGGTAGTATCAACATTTTAACAATATTTGTTCTTCCAATCCATGAACATGGAATATTTTTCCATTTTTTTGTGTCTTCTTCAGTTTCTTTCATAAACTTTCTATAAGCTACTCCAGCTTTCTTTTGTTGACCATTAGCATGATAGATGGTTCTCCATCCCCTTACTTTCAATCTGAAGGTGTCTTTAGGTCTAAAGTGGGTCTCTTGCAAACAGCATATAGATGGGTCTTGTTTTCTTATCCATTCTGTCACCCTATGTCTTTTGATTGAAGCATTTAGTTCATTTACATTTATATTGAGTACTGAAAGATATGAATATGTTGCCATTGTGTTGCCTATAGATTTGGAGTTTCTGGTGGTGTTCTCTGGCCCTTTCTAGTCTTTGATACTTTTGGGGTTTTTTTTTTGTTTCATCTTTTCTCCCCTCAGAGAGTCCCCCCTTAAAATTTCTTGCAGGGCTGGTTTAGTGGTCACAAACTCCTTTAGTTTTTGTTTGTCTGGGAAACTCTTTATCTCTCCTTGTATCTTGAATGACAGCCTTGCTGCATAAAGAGTCCTTGGCTGCATAATTTTCTGATTCAGCACGTTGAATACATCCTACCACTCCTTTCTGGCCTGCCATGTTTCTGTGGATAGGTCTGCTGTGAACCTGATATGTCTTCCCTTACAGGTTAATGACTTTCTTCCCCTTCTACTTTCATAATTCTTTCCTTGTCTGTGTATTTTGTGAATTTGACTATGATATGCCTTGTTGATGGTTGGTTTTTGTTAAATCTAATGGGAGTTCTCTGCGCTTCTTGGATTTTGATGTCTGTGTCTTTCCCCAAGTTAGGAAAGTTTTCTGCTATGATTTGCTCCCTCTTCATCTTCTGGGACTGCTACGATTCAGATGTTATTCCTTTTTAATGAGTCACTGAGTTCTCTAATTCTTATATTGTGCTCTTTTGCCTTAGTTTCCCTCTTTTTTCTGCTTCATTATTTTCCTTATGTTTGTCTTCTATATTGCTGATTCACTGCTCTGTGTTCATCCATCCTTGCTGCTGTGGCATCTATTTGAAATTGCATCTTAGTTATGGCATTTTCAATTTCATCTTGACTTTACTTATTTTACTTGATTTTACTTATTTTATCTCTGCATAAAGGGATCCTATGCTTTTTTCAACCCCAGCCAGTATCCTTATTATCATGATTCTAAATTCTAGTTCAGGCATCTTGTTTATATCTGTGTTGAGTAAGTCCCTGGCTGTCATTTCTTCCTATTCTTTCTTCTGGGGTGAATTCCTTTGTTTTTGTCATTTTGGAGGAATAAAAAGAATTAATAAAATAGGAAATAAAAATTAAAAAATTAAAAGCAACATGAAGAAATCAAATAAAGCAAGCTAGATCCTAGGTGTGTTTTGGTCTGGTTGTTGGAAGAAGCTTGATAGAAGAGAGAGAAAAAATAATGAAAGGAGAAGAAAAAAAAGTAAGAAAATGTTTAAAAATTTAAAAAGATGCATACAATAACATAGAATAAAATGAAATGAAGAAAGTAAAATAGAATTAAAAAGTTTACAAAAAATAAAAATATAGTAAAAAATTAATACAAAGATTAAAAAAGGAATGTAAAAATTTTTTTTTCTCTTTTCATATCCAAGAATAAGAGAGGGAAAAGAAAAAACAAAACAAAACCAAAAGGAACAGATGGACCAGCGAGCAGAATGAAATCCGAATGAAATAACATCAAATTTCCCCTAGAAGTCTAACTATGAAGCCCTTTATAGTCTGTACACTAGGCAGGAGGGGAGGCTTGTGGTGGTCCTCTAAGTCCTGAACTTGGTTGACTCAGTTGGACCGGGCTTGGTGTAATGGCTTTGTTCTCCACTAGGTGGCAGTACTTAGCTTATTGGGGTGGATCAGTGTGGTACGCATGTGCATGTGCATGTACGTGCACTTTCGGGAGAGGTGAAAATGGCTTCACCCAGCTTCCCAGTCTCTGGTATCAGAACTCTGTGCTCTCACAGACCAGCAATCAAGCACTCCTCCTTTGACTCCAGCTTCTGTCCACTCACCGCTTCTACATTGTCCAGGTGCAAGCTGTCAGCCTGCCAGGCAGCACCTCCCTCTTGAATTCTATCTCATTTGGGGCTGTGTTTCCAAACCCCTCACCTCTGAGAGCCTTGTGGCTCGGGCCCACTCTGACCCTCTGGGGGACGATGTCGCCAAGCAATGGCCAGGTGCCGGCTTGCTCCCCCCGGGAACGTTTGCGCAGTTGTGCTGTTGCAGAGGCTCCTCAGCGACTGTGGCCGGGTGCCTGCCTGCCCCAGGGAAAGTTCATGGGATCATGAGGCGGCGGAAGTTCAGAGCTTATGGCAAAACACAACACGCAGCCGGGGCGGTTTCACCGCATCTTTGTTCCAATACCAGCAAACGTGGCTGTTCTCCGGGGTCTGCTGGGACCTTTGCCTGTGGGAGGCCTTACGGCCTCTACCGGATGCCTTCCTAGCGGGGGAACCGCTTCTCCCCTGTGGCCCGTGGACGCCTCAGACCTCGCTGCCTGCTCTTGGGGATTCGCCCTTCCCACCAGAGCTCCGCCAGGTATCGAGCTGTGGAGTTTCAGACTCTGTGTTCCCCTGTTTATAGAGTCCTAATGGTATTGAAACCCTCTCCTCCTTTCTCCCTTTTTTGTTCAGTTGCTTGTGGGCGTTTCCACTCTCTCTCTCTGTGGGGGGGGAGTGCTATTCTGTGGGGGGAGCGCTTTTCCTGCACTCTCCCCCTTTTCTCTCTTCTCTCTCCACAAAAACAGCTCCCTACCCTCCATGGCTTCTCTCTCCCCCAGTTCACCTCTCTGCACCACGTACCTGCCGAGTTCTGTGGCTCAAGTGATGCAGATTGTTGTGTAAATCCTCAGATCAGTTTTCTAGGTGTGCAAATGGCTTGGTGCTGATCTAGCTGCATTTCAGGGACGAGAGAAGGTGAGAACTTCCATGCTGCTCTGCCACCTTGGTCCCTCCTCTTGAATTGAGAAGTAAACTTCTAAGGATAAGAGTTTAGGGGTGCCTAAGTGGCTTCGTCAGTAGCTCATCTGACTCTTGCTTTTGGCTCAGGTCATGGTCTCGTGGTTTGTGGGATCGGGCCCGACATCAGGCTCTGCACTGACAGCATGGAGCCTGCTTGGGATTCTTTCTCTCCCTCTCTCTCTGCCCTTCTGTTTGCATGTGCACTTTCTCTCTCTCTCTCTCTCTCTCTCTCTCTCTCTCTCTGTCTCTCCATATGTTAAACTAGCATCCTCTTTACTTTAAACAAAGGGTTCCATGGTAATCTGCAACTGTCCTCTAATCTTAATGAATATGGTTCCCCTCCCTCAAATATGGCTGGGTTTGAACTGATGAAGAAGAGAAGACCTTTCTTTTTGTAAATTTTTTATTTAGTTTTTTAAATTTTTAACTTTTTAAAAATATGATTTATTGTCAAGTTAACTAACATACATTGTATACAGTGTGCTCTTGGTTTCAGGGATAGATTCCCATGATTCATCGCTTACATTCAACACCCAGTGCTCATCCCAACAAGCGCCCTCCTCAATGCCCATCGCCCATTTTCCCCTCTCTCCTGCCCCCCCCACCCCCTTCAACCCTCAGTTTGTTCTCTGTATTTAAGATTCTCTTATGGGTTTGCCTCCCTCTCTGTTTGAAACTATTTTTTCCCCTTCCCTGCCCCCCATGGTCTTCTGTTAAGTTTAAGAGAAGACTTTTCTAGTTTCCCATGTGTGGATGTGTCCTCCAAATTTTCATAAGCTGCCACTAGTGGTGTTTCCATTGTTTCATGCTCCAGAGCTCCCAAGCCCACACCTCCCAGCACATCCTCTGAAGGCAAAGCTGATGGGATTAATGGGGACCCAAGGGATCCACCCAGGTTTCCTGAGTGTGCTAATGCTAACACTGTGTCCAAAAGAGGTTTGGAGGGCCTCGTATTTGACCAAAGCTGCTCACACTGTAACTGGCCTTGAACAGAAGGAATGGGGTTGAAGGGTGCCTGGCTGACTCAGTCAGAAGAACCTGCAATTACTGATCTTGGGGTCATGAGTTCAAACCTCATGTTGGCTAGAGATTTTTTAGATTAATAAAAACTTAACAAAAA